AAATAGACAATATATTTGAAAGCAATACTTAATTATGAATGGAAAGCTACTGTTTCAATTCTTCAAATCTACTATTATCAATTTAAATTCATATTCGGAAACAATATTACCTGTTGTTCTTCCCACACAATGTTTTGAAACTATTTCATTGAAAAAGTATTCTAAGACAAACAGGTTGTCACCAAAATATAAATTCCGTAACTTTATCGAAAGGCTGCTGTTTTACACATTTCAGTGAATATTTTTATTTATTATAATAGCCTCAAATAGAATGATATTCAAAAGCGAAACTTGAAAATAAATCGGTGAATAATATAGCTAAAATCATCAAAATACCGAAAATCGGGAGGTACCGTTATGGTTGGGCCATATGAGGACCTGCACAGACAATTTTACGAACTTCAATTACCAAATTTAAAACAATTCCCGTGAATAATGTCGCAAAAATCATCAAAATATCAAAAATCGGGAGGTACCGTTATATGAGGGCTATACTAAGACGTGGACCTGCTCTGACAATTTTCTGTCACAGGCTGTAGTATCTGTTACGAATTTCAAATACCACATTTGAAACAATTCCGGTGAATAATGTCGCTAAAATCATCAAAATACCGAATATTGGGAGGTTTGGTTATATGAGGGCTATACGAAGACGTGGACCTGCACAGATAATTTTCTGTTTTAGGCTGTAGTATTACGAACTTCAAATACCAAATTCCGGTGAATAATGTCGCTAATATCATCGAAATACCGAATATCGGGAGGTACCGTTATATATCGGCTATACCAAAACGTGGACCGATATATCTAATTTTCAATACCAACAATCCTAGACATAATAAAAATTGTTCTGCACAATTTTGAAGCTTCTTAGTAGATTCTTGCAGGTTTTGGAAGAAACCATAAATATTTAAAAAAAATTCGACTTGACATTGCCGTATTTTTACAAATTTTAATGTTTCTGTTAAAGGGAGGATATTGTTACATCTTCATGGTTAAATATAGATTTATCCTCGATTTTTGCCAAAGTTCACGTTAGCTAAGAGCAATTTTAAAGAATCTTATAACAATGGGTCATTGAGTGTGTCTTTTCAGTCGATTGCTTTAACCATTGTTACTGGATGTTGCAATTTTCACAAAAAATTAAAATATTCCAAATGCGCAAAATCGAAACAAAGATGTATTTATGACTAAAATAAAACTTATAGAAAATCTGAATTCACTGTTTATATCGCTATGTCTATTTTAAATCATACCTATTAACAGTTCTGTCTATGGACTGATACTTTGTTGCAAATCCATTTATCTACATTTGCTTAATTGAAAGTGGCCTTTATATTTTTGATTAACTTAAAAGACATGAAAAGAGAGCCCCTCAATTAATTAATCAATAAATACTAGTATAGTACGCATGCTGAACTGCGCACCACAATCAAAATATTTATTGTAGTTCGCGACAGTCATGGTTTTTTAACGCATACCATATCCACACATTCGTGCATTCGTTCTATTTGGACGATACAAAACAAAGGATACGGAACGTCACATGCTCAGTTGCTGAAAGTATATCGTCGCAAAAGGAACTGGTTTGCATACAACTAAATACCGTAAGGATACTTTTTTAAGCTAGAGATTTTAATTTTTCTGCACACACACGCACACATGGACACAAAACAACTGCATGCAGGCGACATAAATACAGGCGTAGTATACCTAACAACACAACTGAAATGGAATAACAACAACGCATCGCAAGCTGTAAAGCGTGAGTACCGGGAGCATGTTTTTCACGAAAACAAAAACCGAAAAATAATGGTGGTTGCTCATTGCGCTCGTGGGGGATGTACTAGGTGAGGGTAGTGGCTAGAGTTGAATGAATAACAAAACAGCTGGGAAATTAATATAACACAGTGGTCCAATATGGAAACAAAAACTTCATGTTTTCGTGAATTTTATCTGTAAAAGTTATATAAAATGATGGGCTAAATACGTCATTTCGAATGACATTCCAATTACGTCAAATAAATGGTGGATTTTCATAAAACCGATCATTCCTAAACATGGAAAATGAAATTGTGTCGAGGTTTCTTATTTACTGCACAGTTGTGTAGCTAGGTAGAAGAATACAGGTGGTTGCATCAACACTCGCGATATGTCAATATGTCAAAAATATTTAAAAATATCTGTAAAAAAATTTTCTTGTATGATGCCGTTCAGAGGTAGGTATGATACGTCATTTTCAACAAAATTTCACTAATTTAAATAATTTTTTATTCCAAATTTTTAATTTAAAAATCCACATTTTGACAGTTCATTGTCTCAGCAGCTGTGTCCATGCCATGTCCATGTATTCTTCTACCATGGAAGATATCATGCATGGTACAATTAAGAAGGCAAAGTGATGCAATCATATGTTTACATTTTTTTCAAAAATAGACGTATGACAACAACTCTTTGTCAAAATCTGTACTAAAAATGCCATTGTATATACAAAAATCAGAGGTGGGAACCTGTTTTCAATTCAGTGAAAATTTGACAAGCTAAATTACAGAAAGTTCAGAGATGGGTATGCTTATTTGAAATCACTTTACCTTCTTAATTTTACCATGATATCATGTAGAAAAATACAAGTAGTCTTCTAGTTTTGCAATTTTTTGTCCGATATCATAAAGCGAACATCGGTTATTGAAGTAAAAACGTTTGTCTTCTTGCAGTTCTGGAACATACCTAATGTACAAAAAATAAAGGAAGGATTATAATGCATCTTCAAATGTATTATCGTGATAATACACATAATAATTTAAGTTTTTTTGCTATTGTTCGAATGTAAAATGTAAAGAACGCGATTGCGGATGCATTTGCAACTTTGATGGGTTTTTTCGTAAAAAAAGGAGCGTAGGGTGAGCAAGTATGAATTATAGGCAGAAATTGAACTAATTCAACCTAAAACTTCCTTGCTATTTAACGAAGAAGCCAGCTGATGACTTAAACCAGTCAAAAAAGCGTTTTATGTTATCTCACCTTTAGTATAATGGATCTAACTCATTTGCTAAATCGGATTTGATAACTCTCTTCTAAAGTACTCGATCTTATCATTTACGGACGTCGTCTATTATTTTCGGCGTACCCATGATCCAAGTATATGGTCACCATTCCAGCTCAGGGGGAAAATAAAATAAAATTTGTAAAAATTGTTGAAAAATTCATATCATATCAACCTCCGATTGGTGTCGTATAACATAACTAATAAAAATATACTTATTTCAAAAAAAAATTAAAATTTTTTATATATCAATGTTCCCAAGCGTTGATGCATCTACCTGTATTCTTCTACCATGCAGCAGAGCCGTTATACATACAAAAATTGCCAACAAACATATTATGCTAGGAACACAATTGGAGCGAACGACGAATTTCGCCCTACGCGGCGACAAAATGAGCCGCGAAAATTCGTCGTATGGAACACAATACCGACGAAATTATAAAACAGCTGATGAAGTTGTTTACTTTTTGTTCATTTGTTGACTACAATGAATTATACAAGAACACATAATTCTTTACGTTCTCTATTATAATTTCACTTATGTCCATCTTCTCTATTATAAATTCACTGATATCCATCTTCACTCAGGCGCAAGTACACAAATAAATAAACAAATTAATTATGTTTTTTTTTTATACGAGTAACAGATAGTAGAGTGACCATAACAAATTTTAAAGTAAAAAGTAACTTTATTTACTAAAACACATAAAATTCGTACAAGTATGGCCACCTTGTACTGTTTTGTTCGCCGGTCGCCGGCGTATGAAATAGAAATAAAGCTAATTGAGTTCGCGGCGACCGACGAAATTTTCGCCGGTGCCGTGATTGTGTGCACTTCCATATACACATATGTGTTTTATTTTTGACGACGAACATACGCCGCGAAAAAATTCGTCGTTCGCTCCAATTGTGTTCCTAGCATTAGACACAAAACTCTTCTGTCAAGGCGAAAATATATATTTTCGCCTCAAGCATGTATTTTGACATTTCATCTGATAAAATAACAGCTGTTTTTATATTAATTCGCTCGAAGGAAGACCTTATAATTGTTCCATATACTAAGAAGACGAATTGTATTTATTTAGTTTGTCCATGGTAGAGCTGCTGGGACAATGAAGTGTCAAACCAATTTTGGAATTGAAGAAACGTTAAAAAAGTTTTGACATAAAAAAGCCCCCAAGGGTTGATGCATCTACCTGTATTCTTCTATCATTTTTATTGCTTAATCCGGATTTCTTCAAATAGATTGACAATACAAAAATAAATCTCCTTACGACTGTATTAATTTTAAATCCTCTGTGGAATCTAAAAACTAACGGAAAACGGCATTAGTATTGCCGTACATTCCAAGTCGCATTAAAAGATAACTTACGAAATTGAACTAAGTCAGTCTTAAACTCGTTTGTTCTTTTACGAAGAAGCCAGCCGATTACTTGCGGTGAGAATCCATAAAAGGCCTAATTTGACTGGCTTAAGTCATTGACTGGTTTCTTCGGAAAAGAACAAAGGAACGTAGAGCCAAAATCGAACTAGGTCAACCTAAAACTCCTTTGTACCTCCACGAAGAAACCAGCCGATAACTTAAGCCATTCAAAAAAGCCCTTTATGTACTCTCACCTTTAACCTTTACAGGCCTACCTATAACGAATGTTTGCTCACAAAATATTTACCCCTATCCATTGGGTTTTACGTATAAGAACAAAGGAGTTTTAAGCTGACTTAGTTTAAGTTCGGTTCGTAATTGATAATTATCCACCCTACGCTTCTTTACTCGTTTACGAAGAAGCTAAAGTCAAAAAAAGCTTCTTATATATTCTCACCTTAAAATTAATTAGAAGTTTTCACTGAAGTCAATCTTGGAATTATTCTTATGTTACATTCTTCACACTGAAAACACTGTGTGCCTTGAATTCAGTAGAGTACTCAGTTTGCAGATGCGTAGTTTCGCCTATGCCTCAGTCACTCTGCCCAGTCGATTGTGTTTGCGTGTGCCGTGCAGTTGTTGTTCTGTCGTTTTTATATTATGCTTATTGTTGTATTCCAAATGTAATTGAAATGAAAATATTAAATTCCATTCGTAGTGTTTGGTTACGGGTCAAACCATATAAAAGTGTTCAATAATTGTTTGTGAATGATCAAAGAAAAAAATAATTGTAGCAAGAAAGCTCTCTATAAAATATACCTGATTTCCCGAAACAATTATAGGCATCAGTGATAAAACAACATGAGTTCAAAGCAAAGTGCGCGTCTAAAAACTAAACGAAAGCCTGGCGACCCTTGGATATCGAAAAATCGTGTCCTCAATCCCTCGAAGGCAAAACGTAATTGTCCAATCTATCGCAATCCCAATTTTGATACAGACGAAACCAAGTTGCTGATACAATTGTGGGGTGACCCAAAGGTTCAACGTGAATTGATTACCACACACAAAAAGCATTTGGTTATTGCTCAGTTGGCTACAAAGATGGAAGAGTATGGCTACTATCGTTCACCGGAGGAGATAACCACACGCATCAAGAACATGAAGTGTTTCTATAATCGTCTGAAAAAGGAAATGGAATCGAATAAAGACATGGATCCTTCGTGGCGTCATTATGCCGACATGGATGCCATTATGACACGGCCCATATTTAGTGTGCGTCCCAATGAGGTGCCGGCACCATCGCTTAAATATCTTATGGAACAGGAGGAGGAAAAGAGGAAAGAACGCAAGCGCAAAGCCGAAGAGGAAGGTAAGTTTTGAAGTAAGAATTTGTATTATTTTATTTGGAGGATGCATGGACAGAAGGGAAGTTACTAAATCAATGTTGTTGGATTATGTTAGTTTGATTATTTACATTCATAAAATAGTGCTTCATGATGTTTACATTTTTTCTCGGGTTAGTGGTTGCAATATTAATTTGTTTACAAAATCGGCTTGTGAATTAATCGATCTTAGTAATCGAAAGTTTATGACATGTTCACACTATGGTGGTTTTCTCACTTATTGATTGTTCCCCGGTTGATTATGAAATGATAACAAATTATTTTATGAGATATTTAATTTCTATAATTCAGATGAATTATTTTGGTTTGATTTTTTTTAATTGGATAAAAAAATAAGAAATGTATCAGCTGCGAAACATTGGGTCATCAAGGGGTTGAGTTTAATTATCGATAACTGTAAAATTGTATTGGTTTATAAAGTGAAGTACACAATATCAGACATGTTGATGCAAATTTTGTTTGAATTTGGCAGCTCTCATGGTAGAAAAAGTCGTACAGTCGCGTCGACACAGCTGCTGGGGGTAATGAACTGTCAAATGAATTTTGAAATTGAAAATTTTAAATGAAAAATTATTCAAATTTTTCAAAATTGTTGAAAAATGCATATTATAATAACCTTGTATTTCAAGTTACGGAAGTTATAGTATTGACACCAAATTATAGCTTACACTCTTACCTTTCCAAATTTCTACAATTTCCAACGATAGCTGTTATGTCTATAAGGGGTAAGTGGATCCCGGCCTAGCCCGGGTCTTGAACGCGGACTTTCGGGTCAAAAATCTGGGGTCCCGGGTTCGTCTCCCAAGAAAAAAATTGTTTCCCGAAATTAGGGAAAAATATCTACCACCGGAAACAGTTTCAAAAAAAAAAAAAAATTGAAGAGTTTTTACTAAATTAGAGTTAAGACGAAATGGGGTTGAGTAAAGAATTTGTCCATGATTGTGATATGTTAATTTTGACTTATTGCCATCAGTTTTTCCTAAGTTCCTGGTACAATAAAATATGTACGTATATCGACTTCCTAAACGTTGAGAATAGCACTACGTAGTAGTAGCACCAAATTAACACTACACCCAATCGTAGGATGACAATAACGAAGCAACATTGTGCTTCTCCAAAAAAAGGAGAATAATTTTTGTTTATTAAATTTTGAATGAAAAACGTTTTAGTAATAAAAGTTTTCATCTAACACCTTTGGTATATAAAATGATCTGTTCCAGAACTACAAGAATGTAAAAGTTTTTACTACCATAACCGATTTTTTCTTTATTATATCGGAAAAAATTACAAAATTAGTAGATTCTTGCAGCTTCTAGAACAGGCTTAATGTTTTCATTTCACAGTTTCATAAAACCAGAATTGAGCTACTGTATTCTCCCATAAAAATTTTGCTTTGACAGAATTTGCGTTAACTTAAGCTATATGGTGGAAATTAGGATGTGGTGTGGCAGACCTATTTTAAAAATTTCAAATGTTTATATCCTTAAATGATTTTTCTAAACATATACACATACCTGACATTAGCTTAAATATGAATACACTTGCTTTCCTTAGGAATTCATGTATCGGATAGTGACGACGATATTGAAGACGTTCTCGCAGTATCAGTGGCTAGAAGAGACTCAAGGAGCAAAGAAAATAATATTGTCGAACCTCATGCTGAAATTGAACTTGAAGTGGATGAGGAAACATTAGCTGCAATTGAAAAAGGCGGAAACCAACCGAAATTTACAGCTCCGAAGGAAAATAAAAATAGTGAGTGTAAATATGAATTGCAGAATAAAAACTAATCATTGATAATTTATTATTAAATTTCTAGAAACTGGCCAAGCATCTGACGAATTGATGATTAAAATGGAAATAGAATCTGAAGAATATCTGACGATAAATGAGCAGGATACATCGCCGAACAAATCACAAGATACTCAAAAATCCCAAAGAAACGATGAAGAATTATTAGTACCGAAAGTGGAACCAATAGATGTAGATGACGAAGAATTTCAATGTGAGCGGCAAAACAATTCAGCACCAAATCTTGTAAGAATATTAAATAAACCCACAAGTCAGAGCAATACAACCGGCACAAGTTCCAGTGTATCCTCCGTAACACCATCAAAAATATCTGTAGTGTCGCCGACAATTCTTATGCCAACTACGGGCCAAGCCACAACAGCGGTAATAAATACCCAATCCCCGCGTCAAATGCACTTTAGTGGTAACCTGCAAGCGTTACTGGCATCTTCAACAGCTAGACAAACTGTAACGGCATCGAATGGAATGAAATTTATTTTGGTAAATGCTGCAGATCATAGAGGAGCTCAAATAACGACAACAACAGCAGCTCCACTCCCAACAATAACTCAAAACAACATTATGCCGCAACAAAACAGTAATAGCATACAACAACCTCAGAAGTCTCAGCAGACAGTGAAAACCCCGCCGAAGAATGTTCAAAACAACACGGCACGAAAACGGCTTTTGGAAACTAGCTCACCCGATCGAGATACATTGAGGAAGCGAGAATTATCAGGTAATGAAATTAAGAATTACTCAGTATTTTGTAGTCATATTTAGACCTAAAGACGACACTCGTGGTTTTACATTCGCCAGTCATATAATAAATTTCAAACAAATCAATATATGTTTGTGAAAAGCTACTGACTCAGAAATATTTGCTCTGTTCCAGAACTGCTAGGATGTAAAAGTTTTTACTATGATAGAAAATTGCAAAACTAGTAGATTATTGCAGGTACTGAAATATATAGATTAATTCCCCACACAAAATTTGCTGAGCGAACAAAGATTTTTGTTCTTTGTTCCATTCAAATCACTCTCAGAACTATGATTGAATGTGTGCCATACCTAACAAATGAGAGTATTTATCGAAAAAATAAATTTTGACATTTAAAATTTAAAAATTGAAAATTTTATGAAATTTTAAAAACTTTTGGGAAGACTGCAAATTATGAATGAAAACTACAATGTTGAATGGCGTATGTACATTCAATCGAAAGTAAATTTGGTTTTCTCTCTCATCCGAGGTGCGCATTTTGTCCACGCAATATTTTCAAAATGTTTGCATCGGCAGGAAAAATGTTTCACAAGTGTCTCTCCAGCAATATTTAAGAATTGAAAAATACTAAGATATGTTCAACACGTCAACATTTACACAAAAAGTTTAAAAGATGAATAAAAATTGTAAAATTAATGAAGAAAAACAACAATTTCTTCTGTTCATATTAGTGAGAATTTTATGTATTTTCGTATAAATTCCCATAAAAATCAAGAAACAATTTTTTTTAAATAAATTATATTTCTTGTTAATTCGTGTACCTTATTCTGAGAGTGAAAAACGTGATTGAAAGTGCAATGAGAACATAGCATAAGCAATAACAAACAACAATATGAACGAAAATGTATACCCACTTTTGATGGAAACATTTGTATCGATAATCGGTTAAATGTAATCGAACAATCAAAAACGAATTTTCCACCACTAATTATATAAACAAAACATCCTTTGTTGACTGGATATGCAGCAAATAATATAATTAAAGTTGTTTGTCGTGAAGAAGACGGAAATTAATTAAATTAACAAAAAATTAAATCTCGAAAATAATAATAAAAAAAATAAAACTATTTGCCGATATATTGAAATACATTTATAAAGGAGAACGCTGGAAAATATAAAGAAGTTGAAGGAACAAGGATCATTTCACATCAGGGATTAGTTGTAGTAGGTGTTAATGTTAGCCTTTTAACTTCCCGCTTTTGAAATTGTATAAACATTAATCACAGAACTCTCGAAAACAATGCACAATTAATGTTCATTAAAAATATTTTCAAAATGTACGTTGGGGCTGGCCGTCAACATAATAATTTTAGACCCAACAAAGTATATTCGTGATCAGCGTAAAATTCTAAGACGAATTACCAATGTCCGTCCGTCTATCTGTCCGTCGGTTGTAATCACGCTACAGTCAAAACAAATAATGATAGGAAGCTAAAATTTTGCATTTATGTCTTTTGTCTGCAGGCAGGTCAATTTCGAAGATGGCCAAATCGGTCCACGATATCGTATATCTCCCATGTAACTGTAGCTCCCGGTATTCGGTATTTTAATGATTTTAGCCACATTTTTTTAATGAAATTGTCTGAAATTCTACACAAGGAGTTCTTCGTGACTACTTTGCCTCCTAAAGAGAATTGTCTATATGCGTCGACGATTTCGGATAGCCCCGATACCGATATTCGGTATTTTTCAATGGAATAGTCTGATAATCCACAAAAGGAGTACTTTTGCTCCCTGGAAGAGAATTGTTTATATCGGTCTACGTTTTAGTATAGCACCCATATAACGCTACCCTGAGGTATTCGGTATTTCCAGGTTTATCGCGACATTATTCACCGGAATTGCGTCAAATTTCGCATTTGAAGGTCGTAATGGGTACTACAACCTATGATGGAAAATTGTCTTTGCAGGGCCTCGTTTTAGTATAGCCCCCAAAGAACGATACCTTCCTTTCGGCATTTTGATGGTATTAGCAACATTATTCACCGGATTTGTTTCGAATTTCGTATTTGAAGTTCGGAATCGTTACTACCGCCTAAGAAAAAAAAAACTTACTATCCAGCACCACGTCTTCGTATAGCCCCCAACAAAGGTTTTTATTTGTTATTAGTGTCTTCCATATGGCGGAGGGTATAAAAAGTTCGAAATTAGCTGCTTTTTTAATTCTTTTCTTGGAAGACGAATCCGTATGCCCGAATATTTGATTCCTGTTAGATCCAGACTTACTTAACTGATACGGACTATATAGATATCAGCTAATGAAAATACCTATCCAACAAGTGGTCACATTGTTCGAGAGTTGTATTATAGAATTTTAGGAACCGGATTTTTTACAAAAATCCGAAAAAGCCCCCATTTTGGGAGTCCACAAAATATATGCGAAATTATGGTTAATACTATAACCCTACCAAAATGCTACAATATGTGTTATTACCTTTTTTGGATCCAGAGATATGGGTCTTTCAACACGCTTTTTTATATGTTGTGCTTTTTTGTGTAGCCGCCCTTTGGCTATAATTTAGTATACAATGGGACATTTTTGGCGCATAATGAGCCCTTTTTGTATTTTTGGAGTTTTATAAAAAAATGTAGGTCGGCGAAGCGCTTGCTGGAGGTGATCGATACTTTGGTATATTTTAGTGCCAACCTTTCTTTCCTCTAGACACAATAGTCCAACGGATTGATATCCGGAGATTTTGGTGGCCATTTGCGTGCCCAAGGCTTTTTTTCGCGATAATATTCGGTATTTATTCTGATGTCACGGTCGATTAATACGAGCGGAGAGGGACCATTAGCTGTTATGGCGGCCCACACCATTACCATGGCCGGCGCTTGAGTTTTGGTGGCCAACCGAAGGTGCACATTTTCAACTGACCTCTTTGGCAAGTAAACAAGCAAAATTGTTTAAAAACTGCTGGACAACGAATGTTTTCTCATCGGAGAAAACCATATTCCAAATTCGGCAGTTCACCACCTTCTGCCAAGCGAATCAACTTTTTAGCTCTTTTGAGTCTATTTTCTGTCTGTTGCGGTGTAAGTTCTTGCACTTTTTGGAATTTCAATGGCTTTACTCCGAGCTCATTTTTCAATATTTGCGATATGTTCAGCTCACGAGCCATTTTTCTTCTTTACTTCTCGAACCATTTCTGCTGATGTTGCTGTTTTCTTTCGTCCACTTTGCTTGACGTCGGGCTACATTTAAATGCTTGAGTGCTCTAACGATAGCCACTTGTTGTTTTCCAGCAAAATATAAAGAAATCACGCTATCACGCTTGAATTCCATTAGAAATAATTTTTTTTCTGGAAAATGCTCACCAAAATGCTTTTGTACGTTTGCAAACAATATAATGAGCTGTAACAGCTGTCGGACGAGTTGCGTAGAAATGATAGCAGTCTGAAGTTGGTTGCAGTTTTTTCATCTCACCCTGTATACATATGATATCTTGGGAAACCCGGGGTGCCAGTTACTTACATATGTTAAGGATGTCAAAGAAATCATACCATTACAATACAATCGAAGATGGTTATAGCGAACATTTAGCCAGGGACCTCCTTTATGAGGGAATATTAACTATATAAATACTAAAATAATATTGTACCGTCAGTATTTGGTAGTAATCCCATTTGATTGTATTAAAAACTATAATGTATCTTAACAGGACAGTGATATTTCTTACACCACACGAATTATCCTGTTTCAATATATTGTTGCAACTCGCGTTGACAGTGTTTTTCTCTTGTTATTTACAACACACAATTGTCTGTTGATATGACGTTATATTCAAAAGAAACGGAAATTAAAATTGAACAAATGGAGTTATACGAAGAGAATGGTAAGTTAAATTTGTAGTAGAAAGAGAATTATGATACTTATTTATTTGTATGGTTTTAGCAAGTGAAGCAAGTGAGAAACGATGGAGCGTAAGCAGTCGTAAAAGTGCAAGCAGATGGAATGTGGACAGTGAACGTGCTTTGCTGAGACTTTGGTTTGCTCATATGGAACAACTTCGAGGGTGTAGGAAAAATCGTCACATAATACAAGAGATGATGAATAAGATGCACAATCAAGGTTACTACTATACAGTCGATGAGCTAAAAACCAAAATGCACAATGTTTCGGCACGTTATAAGTAAGTATTCTGCTTTTATACATTTATCTGGAACTCTTCGACCCCATGTGCATTTTTTTGCAAGATTAGAATCTGACAAAAATATGTTTATCCAGAGTCTAAAAAAATAGTTTTCCTGTCTTAGTTGGCATGTATGGAAAGTTTGAAGCATGGCTTTCTATAGCCTACAATAATGATATTTTGCTCTTTCTTAACAGGAGAGAAAAACAAGCTATTGAAGCCACCGGTTCTACTTCAGATTGGGAAATTTTCAATGATGTTGATAGGCTGTTAGATCCCGACAAGAGTTTCAACCCTGATGATTTACCAATGGAACACATTAATAGTATGTAATAAATGGAGATTACAATAACAAAATGTTGAAAAATTTATTTTTCAGATTTGGAAACCCCTTTAACCAACAATGTGTCTAATAGCCGATTTTCAACACCACCTCTAACACCATTTATGTACAAAGAATCTTCCTCTGAATTACCATCAACATCAAATGTATTTACAGTACCGAAGGAAGAAGACAATCTGACACAGGTTTTTACAGATTTCGAAAATAGAATAGAGGGAATGTATGATGAAATAAAGAAATTGGTAAAAATAGAGGAAGAAAAGAAAGACATCCTTAAAAGTTTTGTAGATCGAGAAGCTGATGTACAGAAGGCTCTAATTGATTTCTTAAAGAAATCATAGTCTTAACGAATTTTAAGAATATTAGTTTAAAATTATTCATTTCCTTTGTTATGGAAAACAGCCACTATTTTATAAATACAAATCAGAAAGACGTATTACCATTTCGATAGTAAAAAATATGTATATCAATTTTTGTAATCTCATGTCATGTATTTTTTATTAACTTTCTTAAATTTTGTATGCATGTTGTTTTTAAAATACATATATAAATTTCCCAATGGGAACAATAACTTTATTTTATAATGCATTGTTTTAGCTCATTTAGTATTAAGCACATTAAAAAGTTTGCTCGTACAAAATAAGTAATAATACTATATTTAATAATATAATTGATGGTTGTACCTACGTGATAAAATGTAACATATTTAAATGTGATTTAAAATTGTGGCATAATTATTTTTGAATGAAAATATGATTATACTGACGTACGGGATGGACCTTCAAATCCTCATGTAGATGATTCAGTGGTGTCATGTGGAGGCACATAATATATGAAATATTGTCCGTGGGGTCCCACAATAAATTTTCCATTGCCGCTTCTGTGCCAATGGGTGTTAAAACTTTTTCTACGTTTTAATCCATCCTTTGTATAACGCTACCGAAAAGTTTCAATGGAACAAGTGACAATACCACATAAAATATTTCAACGACGTAGTTCATATCTTGCTTAGACGTTAAGCAACATCTTCTTAACATATCTGAATAGAAAGAAACATTAGTTATTTTGTAATATGGCGCACACATCTCAAATAAAAGTTTCAATTTTGTGACTCCTTAGGTAACAGACAATGGGGGTTCAAGATAAGAAACCCGCGTCGCAGTGGCCGAAAAATGGCTCGTGAGCTGAACATATCGAAATATTCCATTCGGCAAATATTGAAAAATGAGCTCGGGTTAAAGCCATTGAAATTCCAAAAAGTGCAAGAATTTACACCGCAAAATAAAGAAACTAGACTCAAAAGATTTTAAGGGTTACTACGATTGGTCGAAAATGGTGAACTGCCGAATTTGGTTTTCTTCGATGAGAGAACATTTGTTGTCCAGCAGTTTGTAAACAATCAAAATGATCGTGTTTACTTGCCAAAGTGGTCAGCTGATAATATACACCTTCGGTTGGCCACCAGAACTCAAGCGCCGGCAATGGTGATGTTGTGGGCTGCCATAACAGCGGATGATCGTTCTCCGCTCGTATTAATCAACCGTGGCATCAGAATAAATGCCGAATATTATCGCGGAAATATTCTGGAGGGTGTATTGAAGCCTTGGGCATGCAAACATTTTGGCCACAGACCTTGGACATTCCAACAGGACTCAGCACCATCGCACTCAGCACGCGCCACCCAAGAATAATTACAAAATGTGGTTCCTCGCTTCATTTCCAGCGCAAATTGGCTACCAAAATCTCTGGATACCAATCCGTTGGACTATTGTGTCTGGAGTATTTTGGAAAGCAAGGTTGGCACCAGAAAATATCAAATGGACAATTCTGGCAGCGTGTGACGGTTTGGCCGTTTGAAGGCCATAATTTGTGCCAATTCGAACAAATCTAAACTTATTCTAAAATTTGATGCTATTTCCGACATTTTTTGCTATCATTCAATAAAATTTAAAAAAAAAAAAATGTAAAAATGATGGCGTTTGACTTTGTTACAGTTTTTTTTTATCTCACCCTGTAAGTCATATGATAGGCCAAAACATACCTCATCGAAATAACGGTTTTAGACCCTAGGTCTCCTTGGACCAAATCCGTTTCAGGACATTTGGAGTCGCTCTAGCGATGTCTGCCTGGCTGATGCACACGATAGCTCTCGAAGGGAGTATCTGATTTGGTCCAAACTTGATACATCGTAAACTTGGTACATTTCAATATTTCCATCTACACAAGATCTGTTACAAATATGGTAGAGATCGGACCATTTCTTCTAGTAACTCCCCCACAAAGGTTTAACGTTTTGAATAACGATAATAAAATCCGAAATAAGCATCCGGTTCTCATCACAATATTTTTATTAAACCAAGGGCTAGCGTGAAGATGGGATATATCGGTCCATCCCTTCTGGCACTTCCCCCACAAAGAGTCAAAATGTTCAGCATCCAAGAAGCTCATAAAACGGGAAATTAACATCCGATTCCATTCAGAGTTGGTGCATCCAAATATTTCCATCAACACAAGACATGTTATAAAGATGGTAGAGATCGGACCATTCCTTCTGGCACCTCCCCCACAAGGTTCAAGATTTTAAAACAAAATGCTAATATGTTAATGACGAACAAAAGTTGATACTTACAAGTATTTTTTAATTCCTGAGAAAAACGTTTCCAGTTCCCACAAACCGTTTTTAAAAAAATTTTGAATGTTTTGGCCCAATTTCCAAATCAATTTACTGTAATTGGCGATATTAACTTTTTGCTAAAACTCCCGGTAATATTACAAAATATTTCAATAATTGTTCATATATTTTTTTCTTATATTATAGGAATTAAAAGTACTCTGCAAAAACTTCTGAAGGCCAAAGAAGAATCTAATGAAATGGCAGCACAACGTTTGGCCCTTGAACGCGAACGTTTGCAATTCGAGCGAACGATAGCTGAAAAGTTTTTGGGCATATTCGAGCAAAACCAAAAAATTCAACAACAATTGATACAACAACAAATTCAACAAAATCATCATCATCAATCGCATCAGAGACCAACAACGACACAACAAATATTTACCACAACCACGGGAAATCCTGCTACAGCTACAGCCATACAAAACCAGGGACAAATAATGATACCGCCTAAATTGTTAATAACAACAATGGTTCCCACATCGGTGGCCACGTCCAGTGCCGGTAGTGCTAATACAAAAGTTATAACAACGGCGAATATTAAAAATGTAACCAATACGCTAACAGTCGAACAGCCATTGCTAATACCCAAAGAAGAACCCCTCGATTAGATTGATTGAATGTCTGTGACATTTAGAATTTACTATAAAATTTAAGTAGAATATATAGTTTTTAATTTTCTGTTTTTGTTTTCTTCAATTCCATACACATTCCATGAACTATTTTATGCAATATATATTTTTTTTAATTCTAGTCACTATTTTTCATATGTTAAATGTAAAATTAAATATAATTATATTATATTTGAATATAGTAAACAACACAGAATGAATTATATTATAATATATACAAATCTGAACCGATGATTTTCATTAATTTCTGGGACAAACAAGACCAACTGGTAAATATCTGATATCAATAGAAAGAGACACAGAGGCTCTATTTAAAATCCTATGGAAATCATCGTTAACTGGTCGCATTTAATTTCATATTCAATGGTTTTGGATTAAAAGAAATCAATCTAGAGGGTATACATCAAAATAAAAGGAATGTTTGACTTTTTGGAAGACCCTGAAAACATATTTATCAACACCAAAATTCAATGTTATTACTATTTTATACATTCACCTGGAACTCTTCGAATCCCATGTACATTTTCCTTGACAGATTGTCACGCAAGATTAGAATCTGACAAAAATATGTTTATCCAGGGTCGTAAAAATAGCTTTCCTGTCCTAGTTATCATTTTTCTAAAGTTGGAAGCAAGGTTTTGCTTTAGCCTACGATAAAAATATTATCCTTTTTCTTAACAGGAGAGAAAAGCAAGTCATTGAGGCTACCGGTTCTCCTTCAGACTGGGAAATTTTCAATGAGGTTGGTAGGCTGTTAGATTCCGAAACTTTGAAACTAAATATAAACTAGTTACTTTTAAACTAACTATAAACCAATTACTTTAAGCCAAAAAGATTTTTTTTATTTTTTTATTTATTTACTTATTTTTTTTAATCAATTTTTTTTTATTTTCTATTTGAAGGAGGATTGCTATTTTCAGTTTGTTATTCTAAGCATATGTACTTGTGTATTAAGGTTAGCAGCACTAGCTTGTATTATTGTACGTTGCATTTATATCGAAGTATTTTTGGAAATGTATTATGCGAATTATTGCAAAGTTGTTTGATATAACCAATCATCTTTGTTTTTTAGGGCTGTTTTTTCTCTAGAGAACTTATATGTGTTTTGTTTTTGCAATTTATTTTCGTTTTGGTGTTTGAAGTGGTTGATATCCAGATGACTTTTCAACCAATTTGAAGTTAGTTGTAGAATAATGCATTTATAACTAACGATTTTCTCAACTGGTTGAAAAATGCCCCGCTGGTAAGTTAGTTATAAATGCATTATTCTACAACTAACTTCAAATTAGTTGAAAAGTCATCTGAATATCAACCAGTAGTGGTTACTTTGCTTTTTGATCTCCAGATGACTTTTCAACTAATTGGTAGTTAGTTGTAGAATAATGCATTTATAACTAACGATTTTCTCAACTAGTTGAAAAAAGTCTTGCAGGGATGTTTTAGTTTTAGCTTGAACCCTATGCGAATTCACATGTTAAGAGTAGGGTTAATGACCTGTTGACATGGGGCCAATGACCTCTTGACATGTGGTCAATGACCTCTTGGCATGGGGTCAATGACCTCTTGTAATGGGGAAATGACCTACCTCAGGCATGGGGTAGGGCAATGAGCAATGAGAGAGATAGGGAGAGAGGAAGAGAATAAGGAAGGGGAGAGAAAAAAGAAGGGACAGATAAAGAGTAAGAGGGAGAGAGAGGAACAGGGAGAGAGAGGAAAAGGGAGAGAGAGCATAGACAAATGAAAGTATAGACAACGAAATGCTCTCACCGTTTATCTTCGAAAAAAATCGAATCAGCAGATGTCGTCTATATCGTTTCAGGGGTTTGAGTGGGAATATTGAAGTCACTCAATTCTAAAACGTTAAAAATAACAAAAACTGTAGGATGTTTGTCAGTTGGAAATTGTTCCATAATAAAAGAAATGTGAAAAGTACATGATGATATCAAAAAATTCCGGAATAATAAAGTGAAATTCTTGAAAAACGATAAAATGTGTTTTCGAAGTCGAGTGGGTTGAACGCGTAAATCAGCATGTTGACTATGCAAAACATGATGAGAGCCACCTGGATAAAAAGACAAAACTAACTTTTCGTTGTCTATATCTTAATTTGTCTATGGAGAGAGGAAGAGGGAAAGAGAGGAAGAGAGTGAGAGAGAGGAAGAGAGATATAGAAGAAGACAGAGTGATGAAGAGAGAGAGGAAGAAAGGTAGACTGAGAGAGAAAGAGAGGAAGAGAGAGAGAGCGAGGAAGAGAGAGGGAGGAAGCGAGAGAGAGAAAGAGGAAGAGAGAGGAAGAGGGAGAGAGAGGAAGAGAGAGAATGAGGAAGAGAGAGAGAGAAAGAGGAAGAGAAAGAGGAAGAGAAAGAGAAAGAGGAAAAGAGAGAGAGGAAGAGAAAGAGAAGAAGAGAAAGAGAGAGAAAGACGAAGAGAGAGAGAGGGGGAGAAGAAGAGAGAGAGGGGGAGAGGAAGAGAGAGGGGGAGAGGAAGAGAGAGAGAGAGAGGAATAGAGAGAGGGGGGGAGAGGAAGAGAGAGAGAGAGAGGAAGAGAGAGAGAGAGAAAGAGGAAGAGAGAGAGAGAGAAAGAGAAAGAGGAAGAGAGAGAAAGAGGAAGAGAGAGAGGAAGAGAGAGAGAAAGAGAGAGAGGAAGAGAGGAAATGAGAGAGAAAGAGAGAGAGAGAAAGAGGAAGAGAGAGAGAGAAAGAGGAAGAGAGAGAGAGAGAGAGGAAGAGAGAGAGAAAGAGAGAGAGACCTGGGGTCAATGACCTCTTGACCTGGGGTCAATGACCTCTCTCTCTCTATTCCTCTCTCTCTCTCTATTCCTCTCTCTCTATCTTCCTCTCTCTCTCTCTCTATCTTCCTCTCCCTCTCTTCTTCTCTCTCTCTCTCTTCCTCTTTCTCCCTCTTCCTATCTCCCTCTCTTCTTCTCACTCTCTCTCTCTATCTCACTTCCTCTCTCTCTATCTCTCTTCATCTCTCTCTTCATCTCTCTCTTCCTCTCTCTCTCTCTCTCTATCTCTCTTCCTCTATCTCTTTCTCTTCCTCCCTCTCTCTCTTCGTCTCCCTCTCTCTCCTCCCCTCTTGACCTGGGGTCATTGACCTTTTCTCTCTCTTCCTCTCTGTGTCTTTCTCTCTGTCTCTCTCCCTCTCTTGACCTGGATTCAATGACCTCATGACCTTCTCTCTCTTTCTTCCTCTTTCTCTCACTTCTTCTCTTGACCTGGGGTCATTGACCTTTTCTCTCTTCCTCTCTCTCTCTTCCTCTCTCTCTCTCTTCCTCTCCCTCTCTCTTCCTCTCTGTGTCTTTCTCTCTGTCTCTCTCCCTCTCTCTTCCTCTCTTGACCTGGGGTCAATGACCTCATGACCTTCTCTCTCTTTCTTCCTCTTTCTCTCACTTCTTCTCTTGACCTCGGGTCATTGACCTTTTCTCTCTCTCTCTCTTCCTCTCTCTCTCTCTTCCTCTCTCTTCCTCTCCCTCTCTCTTCCTCTCTTCCTTTTCTTCTCTCTTCCTATGTGTATCTTTCTCTCTCCCTCTCTTTCTCTCTCTTTCGCTATCTCTTCCTCTCTTAACCTAGGGTCAATGACTTCTTGACCTGGGGGTCATTGACTTTTCTCTCTCTCTCTTCCTCTCTCCCTCTCTCTCTTTCTCTTCCTGTCTTTACCCCTCTCTCTTTCTCTTTCTCTCTTTCTCTTCCTATCTCTTCCTCTTTCTATCTCTCTCCCAATGACCTCTTGACCTGGGGTGAATGACCTCTTGACCTGGGGTGAATGACCTCTTGACCTGGGGTGAATGACCTCTTGACATGTGGTCATGGACCTTTTTTGCTCTCTATCTCTATCTTCCTCTCTCTCCCTCTCTCTCTTCCCCTCCATATCTCTCTCTTTCTTTCCCTTCTTCCTCTCTCTCTCTTCCTTTCCCTTCCTCCTCATCTTCCTCTCTCTCTCCCTCTCTTTTATGTGAAATCATAAATTCCGATATATTAAATATTCATATCAGATTTTTGGTTAAGATTAATATTCAGGTATTCCAAGATGTCGCTGACTTATTTCGCAAGTCATGACAGATAAAAGTATTGAAAATTGTGACTCTTTGTGGGTGAGGTACCAGAAGGGGTTGGCAAATATATATCATTTTAACAACAGATCATGTTTTAGCAGAAATGTTTGTATGTGTGAAATTTGAATAGAGTTTAATGCTTATATCCCTTTCTTTGAGCGTTTTGTTTTTTTTTCTTTTTAAATCTTGAACCCTATGCGAATTCACATGTTAAGAGTAGGGTTAATGACCTGTTGACATGGGGCCAATGACCTCTTGACATGTGGTCAATGACCTCTTGTAATGGGGCAATGGGCAATGAGCAATGAGAGAGATAGGGAGAGAGGAAGATAATAAGGAAGGGGAGAGAAAGAGAGGGAGAGGGAGAGAGAGGAAGAGAGTGAGAGAGAGGAAGAGAGATATAGAGGAAGACAGAGTGATGAAGAGAGAGAGGAAGATAGGAAGACTGAGAGAGAAAGAGAATAAGAGAGAGAGAGAGCGAGGAAGAGAGAGAGGAAGAGAGAGAGAGAGGGAGAGGAATAGAGAGTGAGGGGGAGAGGAAGAGGGAGAAAGAGGAAGATAGAGAGAGAGGGGGAGAGGAAGATAGAGAGAGAGGGGGAGAGGAAGATAGAGAGAGAGAGGGGGAGAGGAAGAGAGGAAGAGAGAGAGAGAGAGAGAGAGAGAGGAAGAGAGAGGTCAATGACCTCCTTCCCCCTCTTTACCCCTCTCTCTTTCTCTTTCTCTCTTTCTCTTCCTATCTCTTCCTCTTTCTATCTCTCTCCCAATGACCTCTTGACCTGGGGTGAATGACCTCTTGACCTGGGGTGAATGACCTCTTGACCTGGGGTGAATGACCTCTTGACATGTGGTCATGGACCTTTTTTGCTCTCTATCTCTATCTTCCTCTCTCTCCCTCTCTCTCTTCCCCTCCATATCTCTCTCTTTCTTTCCCTTCTTCCTCTCTCTCTCTTCCTTTCCCTTCCTCCCCATCTTCCTCTCTCTCTCCCTCTCTTTTATGTGAAATCATAAATTCCGATATATTAAATATTCATATCAGATTTTTGGTTAAGATAAATATTCAGGTATTCCAAGATGTCGCTGACTTATTTCGCAAGTCATGACAGATAAAAGTATTGAAAATTGTGACTCTTTGTGGGTGAGGTACCAGAAGGGG